CTGCGCGTGCGGCGAGGGCGGCGCGCGCCTCGACTGCCGCTCCGCCGCGCTGCGCCGCCTGCCGCCGCTGCACGAGAACCTGCTCTCACTGTGAGTGTCCTCGATGTGACTATAGTCAGTGACTGGTACTTGCTGACCAAACTCTTCGATCAAAAGTGTCATTGTGTGTGTAACTACCCTGTACACTCCGACCCTACTGATACCCACTGGTCTAGATTGTTACAAACTAGGTACTTGCGCGCGGTTTCATCCGCTCTGCTCGGCTCATATTTATATCGTAGCGTGATGTTTTATAGCCAAAGCCTTCCTCGACGAATGGACTATCCAACACGAAAATAATGTTTCAAATCGGACCAGTAGCACAGAATACTAGTAGGCAGTAGTTCCTGAGACTACCGCGTGCAAACAAACCCCAGCTCCATACGACAGTACTTCACTAGAACGGAACGTGTTTTTGTTCAGTCTACAGGAGACTAATGCTCCGACGATTGTTCTAATAAACTGTCGCAGGCAGTTGGTACTGAACGAGCTGTACGTACGTACGTATTGTACCGAGATAGCGACGCAGTACGGAATGCATTGTATCAATTTGTGTCAGTTCATCATCAGTTGCAACAGTGGCACTAACAAGACTCACTCGCTAGGAATTGAACCTGTCACCATTCAGGAACGCAAGTAGATGCTCAGCGCTGCGTGTTGCGTGTTGCGTGCTGCTTGTTGCTTGTTGCAGGCTGCGTTGATGTCTTTTATTCGCGCCATTGCTGTTAGGCTGGTCTACTTCTAGTGTCGCATACAACGACACACGCGACGAGATGTCACAACGTGTATTAATTCTTTACAATACACTCCAACACCTAGGTATATGTCGCGGAGAACGTAACGGGTTACCGGGGCTCCGACTCGACGTGCAGGAGAAGGAACGAGGTGGTTTTTAGTCTGAGTCTGACACTCCCTCCCGCCTCATCCAGGCAGAAGCAGTCATTCGATGATTATCCTCCCTTAAAAAAATACCTATATTATATACATATATAATAAACACATTAGTGTTTTGACATATATAATAAACACATTAGTGTTTATTATATATGTCAACCATTAGGTTGACATTAAATAGTTTGGGTATGCTTTAATCTCAGTAAAAGTAATTGAACGACACTTGGATACAGATGTAATAAAATATCCAATGTGAATATTAATATATACCGAAGTAAGTAACTCGGTCCAAGAAGTGGACGTTACACAATGTTTAGCACTGAATATTGACAACAGTCTGAACTGTAAACAATACATTGGTTCACTTTGCCCAAGAGTGAACACATACTCATGCAGTCTATGCTCACAAAGATGGTCAGAGTAGTTTGACTGTTGTTACGATCTGTTGCTGCTATGTTTGTGTCATAAAGTATTGTGTGATATTTTGGAGTAACTCCAGTAACAAAGACGCTGTGTTTACAGTGCAAGATAAATGTGTTCAAGCTAGTTATAGCATAAGCTATTACTACTGTTTGCTTAATATTAATTAAGCAAACAGTTGCAAACCCTATTTCATGGAATTAAATATGCTGACCATACCATAATACCATGCAATGAGATACTGGAAGTTGCAGGTTTGTCAAAAAAAGAGCTGCAATACTTTAAAAAATGTAATAGTAATAGGTAGATATCAACAATTAGGCCTTTACCTATGATGTCGCCATTCTACAGTAGGTACTGGTCATTTCAAATCAACATAATTTGTTTGGCTCTCCTGCGCCCTCCCCTTCCGGTGCTGCCATTCCCAACAGTCAATACTCCAAACCCTAGTTGCTGAAGTTGCAACCGTAGCAGCTGAGGCCTTAAAATCGATGGGCCTAACATTTGGCCAATCACCGTAGCCAACTAGCCACAGTAACTGTGTTCGCTATATTTAGTTGCTGTGCCGTATTTGTCTAAAACTGAATATATAAATAATGGTTTGACATTAGTAAGTAGTACTTATTCTCTACTAGCGACCCGCCCCGGCTTCGCACGGGTGCAATATAAATGTATTATATCAACGTTCTTTAAGAATTCCTCTATCTATTAAAAAATCGCATCAAAATCCGTAGTTTTAAAGATCTAAGCATACATAGGGACAGACAGACGGCGGATAGTGACTTTGTTTTATACTATGTAGTGATTTGAGACCTCGCTAGCATCTCTTGCAGAAAGTTTTAGCGCGGTACTCCTCTTGAACATAAAGAAACGGTAAACATGAATTATAACTCCAAAGAGCACGCAATGGATACGCATCATATGATGGATAGCATCAGCCTGGCAAGTGACGTTAAGCGTGCGGTCACAGCAACTAGTGGGACACTGGGACGCGACTGCGTAAAACTCACTTTACCCTTTTTGGTGCGTGTCGCACATTGTAGTACAATAGTAAGTAAGTATGTAGTTACAAGCGCTGGGTAGTACTTGCAGCACGGGAACGAGTTCGGGCGGCCGGCGCGCGGCGTGGGGCGCTCGGCTCGGCGCCGCCCCAGTGCTGCACGCTGCACTCGCGACTACCGCGCCATAATTATATTTGTATAGTTAGAACAATGCTCAGCGGTCGGGCCCGCGCCAGTGCCATGTAGGATCTATTTTAAAGAACATACGACATTATTATTCTATTAAGAAAGAAAAAGCATTCTTACTGAAGAATGAAGAACAAAAACTAAATGCTACTGTTAGCTAGTTACTAACTGGACTTGTAGTGTACGTCCTAAACCAGCATGTTGTATCGCTCACGTCAATAAATCTTCCGACACTTTCTTTATTTTTACCGACTTCAAAAAAAAGGAGGAGGTACTATGTTCGGCTGATTGTTATTTTTTTTTTGTTTGTTCGCGCAGTACTCCGCCATTTGTGAACCGATTTCCAAAATTCTTGTTTTTTTTGAAAGGGTATACTCCCGAGATGGTCCCATTTCCATGAGGTCAGGATCTGATGATGGGATCCTAGGGAAACTGAGGGGAACTTTCGAAGATTCTTTGGGCGAGTAATGCGTCTATGTTTTTCAATTACGATTTTTAAACACTACAATTCGATAAGGGTCTGAAGTCGACCTGATGATGGAACCGACAGACAGTCGATGGAACTCCTCAACGGTATACTGTAACTACCTTGTGCTTGCGCTTGATTAATTTGTATTGATTAGAACTTTGCACCTATGTAGATTATAAGTAACAAAACGGGTATCTGTAGCTTTACACTGAAAATGATAAAATAATAAAATAATAAAATAATAAAATAAAAACTGGGTTTAGAAAACCGACTTCAAAAAACCCACAACAAAATAGTTAATGGACACAGTCGGTATAATGCGTAATAAAATTGTAAACAGCTTAATAATGTTAAGTAGGTATCTATTAAGGTTTTAATGAATAATTTTGTTTAAAACTTGTGGCACCGACTTCTAACCTATCAGTGGGTGTGTAAGCTATAATACTTAGTTATTTTTTTCCTTTTTTAGTTTTTACTATTCGTTAGTCATTCGTTTTTGAAGTCGGTTTTTTTTAAACGCAGTTTTTTAATTTTATTTTATACTTTTTAGTTTAGTACTTTGATATATATTATACACAACCCACATGGATGCAAAGTTTTTATCAATACAAATTATTCAAGTTCAAACACCGGATGGATACTCTTAACCATTGAGGAGTCCCTTAGCTATCATACTACTTCATCATTGGACCTTTAATAACCATCACACCCCCCCCCCCCCACCTAGGTGTAAAGTTCTCATCAATACAAATTAATCAAACCCAAACACGAGATAGCTACTGTTAACCGTTAAGGAGATCCCTCAACTATCGTACTACTTCATCATCAGACCCTTATTGACAATTACACCCCACCCAGGTGTAAAGTCCTCATCAATACAAATTAATCAAACCCAAACACAAGGTAGCTACTGTTAACCGTTGAGGAGTTCCCTCAACTGGCTCTCGGCTCGTCGCTATAATTTTTAAAAGATCCCCTCGGTTTCCCTGGTCTTCCATCATCAGATCCTGATTTCCTTATCATGGGACCATTCTGGAACTATCTCCTTTCCAACAAAAAAACAATTCTTAAAATCGGTTCATAAACGACGGAGATATCGGCGAACAAACATAAAAAAAGCATATATACGGTCGAATTGAGAACCTCCTCCTTTGAAGTCGGTTAAAAATAACTATTATTAGTACTGATAGGTTACCCACCCACTGATAGGCGAAACTTTGACTACTATATGTTGTCTCTTTACCTCTATATTGTATTACCACATGATTTGTTTTTTACATTTAACTTGAATGACTGAAATAATTTTATTCAAAATTAATTATTGATATTGACATTTACGTAATACATTTAGACATTTTAATTGTTTGACCTATTTTGACCTAAGTGACATTTTTAAATATTTGCAATACATATTGTTTGTAGCGAGTTACAACTTGGACCACCGCCTTATAATGCGCGCAAAATCGCGGCCACACTACAGTTTGATTACTACCTACTATTATTTTCTTTTTGAATGTAACAGTACAATTTATTTGCTAACTAATACTGCGGACGAATTCATGACCAGCTCATGACAGACCGATGATGTGGTTTAATAAGAGATCCTCGCTGATTTACAACATGTTTAGCAACACAATGATGGCATGTCGCCTGCAGTGCTACTCTGTGCTACCTAGTGGATACGAGGTTTTTAGGTACGCTTTTGGAATACTAGAATACATTTTAGTTCGAAACGGGGTTTCGGGAAAGTGTCGGCAGTGGGCCCGTGGTATACCCGTTTAGACTCCTTATTAAATGCGCCAACTTTGGTGACATTTGCCACTACTACCGCACGCAGTACAATTTTTTTCAGTACAGTCACTTAAACTAAGTTGAAAATTTCAACATCGAAAAATGATATTATTATTGTTTTCCAAACTAAAGCAGTTGGCTCATAATTTATGATTCCATAATACTGAAGCACTATTCAGGATAATATGAGCAACTAGCTACTTCCGCGCGGTTTTACTCGCTCTGCTCGGCGCCTATTTATCGTAGCGTGATATTTTATAGCCTATAGCCTTCCTCTATAAATGGGTTAT